GCCATAAGACAAATATCATTATAATAAATTCAGAAGAATTAATATACCAATATTTTTATAGCAACAGTATTAAATTAGAAATCAATAGCATTGATTTCCTACAGCATTCTCCTAAATAAATTATGGCTTCAAACTAGATAAGAAAATGGGAATGCCTATTACCACATTTAATCAATGTCTGCTGTATACATGTGCTGAAATATGGCAATGTACCCCATAAAAAGATATGGATATTAGTTAATTAAAAATTAAAATCAGGGCCCAGCACGGTAGCCCAGTGGCTCAAGTTCTCACCTTGAATGTGCTGGGATCCCATTTGGGCACCAATTTGTGTCCTTGCTGCTCTACTTCCTGTCTAGTTCAGCTCCCTGCGTGTGGTCTGGGAAAGCAGTCGAGAACAGCCACAAGTCTTGGGACCCTGCACCCACATGGGAGACCCAGAAAAATCTCCTGGCTTCTGGCTTCAGATCGGTGCAGCACCGGACGTTGCGGTCACTTGGAGAGTGAATCAATGGATGGAAGATCTTTCTCTCTATCTCTTCTCCTCTCTGTATGTCTGCCTTTCCAATAAAAACAAATAAATCATTTTTTAAAAATTGAAATCAACCATAAAATAGAAAAAACCTTTTTTTTTTTAAGATTTATTTGATTCACTCCCCAAGTGACCGCAACAGCTAGTGCTTTGCTGATCCGAAGCCAGGATCCAGGAACTTCCTCTAGGTCTCCAACAGGGATGCAGGGTCCCAAGGCTTTGGGCTGTCATCCACTGCTTTCCCAGGGCACAAGCAGGGAGCTGGATGGGATGTGGAGCTTCCGGGATTAGAACCAGCAACTATATGGGATCCTAGTGCGTTCAAGGCGAGGACTTTGGCCGCTAGACCACGCCGCTGGGCCCCAAAAAACATTTTCAAACTGATCATGCAGGGGTGAGGAAGCTTTTCATCCTCCAAGGGCCATTTGGATGTTTAGAATGTCATTCACAGGACATACAACAAACATACCAACTTAACCATCCCCCCGGCTCTGCATGTGTTGCATTCTGAGTCCCATCTGTAACTGGTTTGGCCCTGCCAGACCATATGGTTTTTCAGCTCTTATACAACCCATGGGCTGGCCATTGCCCACCCTGACTGTAAACACAGCATATTAAATGTGTAAGACACAGTAAAATCAGTACTTACAATGGATTTATAGACAGATGTATATATGTATGCGCATATATATATCTTTTTAAAAAGAAAGATCAATAATCTAAACTTGAAAAAAAGAATAAATATGGGTTGGGGAGACAACGAGATGGCTCAATAGACTAATTTTCCACATCCAAGTGCCGGGACCCTATATAGGCTTCCAGTTCATGCTCCGACTGCTCCACTTCCCATCCAGCTCCCTGCTTGTGGCCTGGGAAAGCAGTCAAGAATGGCCCAAAGCCTTAGGACTCTGTACCCATGTGGGAGACCTGGTGAAAGATCCTGGCTTTGGATCGGCGCTGTACCAGCCGTTGCGATCACTTGGGGAGTGAACCATTGGATGGAAGATCTTCCTCTCTGTCTCTCCTCTCTTCTCTGTATGTTTGACTTTTCAATAAAAATAAATCTTAAAAAAAAAAAAAGATGGAATGGAAAGACTTCTCCCTGCCAAGTACAAGCACATGTTGCTCATGACAGGGACATGTTCTGAGAAGTGCAACATTGGGTGATGCAACATCACAGTACACACCTGCACAGCCGCGATGCTGCAGCTGATTGGGCCTGTGGCTGCCCGGCACACCTGGATACACAGGATCAGGCCTATTGCTCCTAGGACTGTGACAGGCAAAAAAATGTGAGAGGAAATGATGTGTAGGAGAAAATGCTGCATTCGGGAGATGAGGCAGACACAAGATGAATGAAGCTACTGCCAACCTAACATGAGGTATAGCTCATAGATACTTATCTTTTTTTAAAAGATTTATTTTTTAGTTTTATTACAAAGTGAGATATATATAGAAAGAGGAGGAGAGACAAAGATCTTCTGTCCGATGGTTCACTCCCCAAGTGAGCAAAATGGCCAGTGCTGTGCTGGTCCAAAGCCAGGAGTCCTTCCGGGTCTCCCACGTGGGTGCAGGGTCCCAAGACTTTGGGTCATCCTCAACTGTTTTCCCGGGGTACAAGCAGGGAGCTGGATGGGAAGTGGGGCTGCTGGGATTAGAACCAGCGCCCATATGAGATCCTGGTGCATTCAAGGCAAGGACTTTAGCTGCTAGGCCCTGCTTTTATAATTTTTTTTTAACTAGAAGAATTATAGAGTATTTTATTAATATCATAGAAATATGCTTTTTATAATTGTTTGTTTATGGGGACATAGAGCCTTTAACTGTAGGGGGATTTAATATTTGAAACTTTTGTCTTGGATTTTTGAGTTTTTTCCCTTGTAACGTATTTCTCCCATTAAATGATGGAGAAGTTGTGGAAATAGAAATGTAGTAGGAATGTATTACTGATTAGTAGGTAACTGCATGTGCCTTGGCCTTGGAGTCTTAGCTGTCACCTAACGACTACTACTGAAGATTTATAATGGCTTGCTTTGAAGAAAATGATTATGGTAACTTACAGAATTATCTTTAAGAGCACCTGGTTGACCAGGAGGTAAAAAAATAAAATAGTCAAACATCTGTGCTTCCCTACTTAGTATGAAGTAAAAATAGAACAATTAAGCAACTGCGCAGAGGCATGTGATGTGTCTGAGTAAATAAAAAGGACAGCTTCTTCTTGAGCTATTACAGGAGTGCACCAAGTTTCAGTGTCCATGTCTTTTCTTTTCACCGACGCCACACACCAAGGGTTCTGAACTTGGCTGGAGCTGGTCTCCGGCAGTATTCATCCAATGATAGCACAGTTGGTTTATTTATCCCAGCATCACCACAAACACACAAGTAATGCCCTGTGTAGCTCTGAGCCACAGGAATTTTCCAGCTCCATTATAACCTTGTGGAGCTACAGTCATGCATTGTGGTTCATTGTTGAGCCAGTGTCATCATGTGGCAGGTGACTGGCTAAGACCCTGGTCGTCACATATACGTAAGAGGGCTTTGAGAGGTAGCAAAAAGGATTTGGCCACTAGCGATCTTAAGATCTGAAGAAGGACAAGGCAGTGAGTTCCCTGGGTTTTCTCTTTGCCCTTCACTCCTAGAGTAGGTACTAGAAAAACAAAAACAAGTTGAAAATGCCAATGGGAGCGCGCGCACACACACACACACACACACACACACACACACACACACACACACACACCAGGATGAGCCTGCTGTCTTTAACCAGGGAAGAGATAATCTAACAAGACAGAAAACCTGTAGAAAACATATGCCCTTTCCCAGCCAAACATCTGTAGAGAAAATGATAGCTCTGCTTTCCTTGATAGCACAAGCTGAGTAGGAAGTCTCCGACCTGTTGTTAACAAGATGTTTATCCTCCCACCCAAGCCCAACCTTCCTCCACCCCCTGCTGGACTTCACCCCTTCACCGGTACTAAGGAATCCCACACATACACAGCAGCGATCACATGGGGATCCTGGATTTTACCCCACCCAGTGGCAGTGGGGTACCATCTATCCTCAGCTGCATACTGTTGGGGGAGACAGGGTTGCAAGCTGTGACTTTATCATCCATAGGAAACAAGACTGACCCCCGCCTCTCACTCTCCCCCAGTAAAGACCACTGGAACAATAACGAAGTGTCCCTCCCCTCCCATCCAGGGAGCTAGCTGTCCCTCCAATAAAAGAAGTGTGTGCCTTCCATAATGGATTTTTTTTTTAAAGATTTATTTATTTTAATTGGAAAGACAGATATACAGAGAGGAGGAGAGACAGAGAGGAAGACCTTCCATCCGATAATTCACTCCCCAAGCAGCCACAATGACTGGAGCTGAGCCAATCTGAAGCCAGGAGCCAGGAGCTTCTTCCAGGTCTCCCACACGGGTACAGGGTCCCAAGGCTTTGGGCTGTCCTCGACGGCTTTCCCAGGCCACAAGCAGGGAGCTGGATGGGAAGCAGGGCCGCTGGGATTAGAACCGACGACTATATGGGATCCTGGTGCTTGCAGGGTGAGGACTTTAACCACTATGCTATCACGCCAGGCCCCCATAATGGATTTGAACATTAACTTTTTGTACAAGTACTGAAGAAGTTGAGTGAGGATCTGGCTATTGCTGAAGGAATTGCCAAGCTACCTAGGTAAGCCAGCAAATCAATGATAAGGTGAAATAGTTGAACCCATGTCTTGCCCTTACTCCAAACTTTCCAGGAAACTAGCTGCTATTACATATCCACTTGTTTTGAAAAACTGTTTTTGCAATTTCTCAAGAAGTTAATCACAGAGGCACCATGTAGCCCAACAACTCCATTTCACGATATATACCTTAGAGAACAGAAACCATACTCGTGTGTGTTTGAAAACTCACACATAAGTGTGATTGGTAGCATTACCTGTAGCTGCTGTAGTTAACGGCACCATTTGAAGGGATATGCATGGCAAAGCTGAGTACTGGATGCTCCCCGGGCTGGCCACTCTGGCCCAGCTGTCCACCCTGCGTCTTGCATAACCAGCACTGTCCATGCTGGCTGCTGCAGGGCTTTGTGAAGTTGCATTTGTAACTCTCACGCACGATATTTTCCCAGGCTGTTCGGTGTGGATGGTATAGGGGAGGCTTGAACAGGAGCTTTAGCAGCCCTTGAGGTTGGGGAGGGAACTTGGTGGGAGTGTTGGATGGGGCTGGTGGTGACAATGGAGGTAGTATCCAAGGCATGGCTCTGAGCTGGACACAGAGAGTGGGACTGCTACCCAGGGCACAGCCCTGGGCTGATCACCTGTGCACATTCCCTATTACACTTCCCTATTTTAATCCACTGCTTCCCCAGGGGCCATTTCACTTTTGGTCCTTTTGCTCTGAACTAGATAGTAAGTTCTTAGTTGGTCTCTCTCCTCACCAGCCATATACATGCTGTTAACATCCCCAGCCAGCAAAGGTTAGGGGGTGGGGAGTGTAAGGTAACCAAGAATCAAGAGGATTAGCTCTCAAGAAAGAGGTTTGCCTGGGGACAGGTCTGCTGCAATGCAGAGTGGGAACATTGGGGATCAAGAGGATGCCAGAAGCTCCTAGACAGGAAGAACTGGGAGATGGACTTGTTCATTCTCCCTAAATGTCTCTCCTGCTGCCGTTCAGTTCATCTCCACCACGGCCACACATGAGCAAGGAGAGGAACAATTTATTCCACAGCACCCAGGCTGTGGGCAAGGATAGGACAAGGAAGAGGAGGGCAAAGTTGGCGCAGTCCTCCTCTTCTCACTCCTTCCGAAGCCCATGCCGGGGAGGCCCATCTCCACAAGGCCCAGGGTGGATGGGAAGAAGAGGAAGTCAGGTTAAGGGGGTGCAGTTTCATGCCAGATGTGTATTCCTTTACTGAGAATTCAGGAATTTTTTGTGGTTGTTAGTGGTGTTTGAGATGTTCGAGTCACTCAGGGATTCCTGTACGGAGTTGGGATCGTTGCCGCAGGACACGGTGGTGGTAGGGTGGATCCGAATCACTCTCCAGAAACTCTTATGGTTGAAGTAACAAAGTACCGCTGGGAAGGGGCAGAAGGAAGAGAGAGGAGAGGCCAGAGTGACAGGGAGACTGAGTAAGGCCAAAGGGAAGACCATTCCGAAGAACCTACACTTGAGGCTTGCCAGCCCTCCCCTCCAACCCACACACACACACCCCTGCCGGACCCACCCACATCTCATCCTTCTCCCAGAGTCCTCCTGGCCACTCACCACAGGTGATGTACAGAATGAACACCAGCCAACCCAGGAGATAGCTGCAGCCAACGGGGATGGATAAATTCTTGTCCAACTCGAAGAGCCAGAGGTTGATGGGGAACAACAGGAGGGTGAAGAAAAGGAAGGCAACTGGTGACAGGAAGCAGAAAGGTCTCATTCTCATCCTAGAAACCCACAGAGGACTTTTTTTTCCCACCTGCTCAACTACAGCCACAAACCACAAGCCAGATACAATCACAAACCGTGACTTCCAGAGTCCACGGCCCCAGAGGCTCACAGCAAGCAACTCCTCCGGTCTCCCCGCCCCATCCCAGTGCTGGCCTGGAAGTGGTGGAACTCCACTCTCAGTTCTGACCTGGCATTGCCCACGAAACTCCCACGCCACCACCAAGATAAGAGGGGGAAGTGCCCAGGAAGACCTGGGTCAGACTAAGGACCTTTTTTCAGAGCTGGTGGGCACCTTCGCAGAAGCTCAAGATGATCCCAATCAAGCCAAAGGCGGGCACTTTGTGGAGACGGGGCAGGTAGGGCAGGTGCAACCAGATGGTGAGGAGGAAGCCCACCCCCACGGCCATGCTGAAGATGATTCTGGCAGCCACAAAGAGTGGCTGACTTGTCCACAGCTTGGAACTCTCTGGAGAAAAGAAAAAATGATAACCAGCTAAGTAGTCACAAAAGACCAAGTAGGAAATCAGAAGGGCACATATGAGATCTTCAGGCCCACTGGAGGCAAGGGCGCAATGAGTCAGTGCCTAAATCCTCCCCCTTGAAACGCCAGTATCCCACATGGGCACTAGTTTATGTCCCAACTGCTCCACTTCCCATTCAGCTCCTTGCTTGTGGCCTGGGAAAGCAGTGGACGACAGCCCAAGTCCTTGGGACCCTGCACTCATGTGGGAGACCCTGGAAGAAGTTCCTGGCTCCTAGCTTCAGATTGGCTTAGCTCAGACAGTTGAAGCCATTGGAGAGTGAAGCAGCAAACTAAAGATCTGTCTCTCCTTCTCTCTATAAATTTGATCTACCTTTCCAATAAAATAAGTAAATCTTTTATTTTAGTATAAGAAGGAGAGAGAGAAAGAAGATGTTTTGTCCACTGGTTCACTTCCTAAGTGGCAACAACAGTTGAAGCTGAGCTGATCCAAAGTCAGGAGCCAGGAGCCTTTTCTGGATCTTGCATACAGGTGCAGGGCCCCAAGGCTTTGGGCCATCCACAACCGCTTTCCCAGGCCACAAGCAGGGAACTGGATGGGAAGTGGAGCAGCAGGGACATGAACTTGCACACATATGGGATCCTGGCGGTTACAAGACAAGGATTTAGTCACTAGACCATTGCGCTAGGCCCAGAAATTCATACTTTTAATTGCCATTTTCCATGAGTTTGTTTATTTAACATTTATTATTTATTTGAAGGGCAGAGTTACAGAGAGACAATGAGATAGATTTTCCTTATACTAGTTAATTCCTCAAATGGCTGTAACAGCTAGAACCAGACCAGACTGAAGTCAGGAGCTTCATCTGGGTCTCCCACAAGAGTGCAGGGGCCCAGGGATTTGGACCATCCTCTGCTGCCTTCCCAGGCTTGTAGAGCTGGATTGGAAACGGAGCAGCCAAAAGCCAGCCTGGGGGGGTGGTGCAGGAGCAGGGGGAGCTTTTCCTGTTTTGCCACAGCGCCAGTGCTTTTGCATGAGCCTTTGAAACCAAACAAATGCGCATTTCAGGTAACAGTGAAATATTGATTTCCCTTATTACATAAGCCCAGGTGCTTGATATGGAGATTTTTGGTAATCCAAACCATGTGAAAGGGAACACCTCAATTAAAAAACAAAACAAAACAAAAAACAAAGAGACCAAAGACTTGAACTGCAGCTCTGCTAAGAAGCTCTACACAGGAACTGCACGTTAAATGTGATTTTTTTAAAGCCATCAAAGTATAAAGATCAAAATAAAATTGCTAACATCAGGTTAGGAGAGCTTAGAGAAAGGAGGCCAGTGTTATGGCACAAAAGGCTAAACTGCTACTTGGGATGCCAATATCTCCTATTTCCTTGATACTACTCCTGGGAAAGCAATGAATGATGGCCCAAGTACTTGGGTCCCTGCCATCCATGTGGGAGACCAATGGAATTCCAGGCTCCCAGTTTCTGCCTAGTCCAGCCCTATCCATGGAAGTCACTTAGAAAGTGAACCAATAAATGACCAATTTTTCTATCTCTTCTCTCTGTCACTCTGCCTTCTGCCTTCCACTTAAACAAATATTTTTTAGAAGAAAGTTTATTAGAAAGTTACTTTTAAAAAGAAAGTTCATTTTTTTAAAAAAAAAGGTTATTAAAGACAATATCCTAGAATAAATAAATAATATAAAATTGCTTATGAAGAATGAGTAGAAATGTCATTCAAAATGTGTTTAACTGGAGGCCAGTGTGTGCCATAGTAGACTAAACCTCTGATGACAGCCTCGGCATCCACTATGGACACCAGTTTGAGTTCCAGCTGCTGTGCTGTTGATCCAGTTCCCTGCTTGTGGCCTGGGAAAGCAGCAGAGGACAGCCTAAGTCCCTGGATCCCTTCCCACATGGAAGACCTGAAAGAAGCTCCTGGCTCTTGATCTTGGGTCAGTTCAGCTCCAGCTGATAGAGCCATTTGGGAAGTGAAACACACTTCTCTCTCACTCTCTCCCTCCTTCTGTGTCTCTGCCTTTCAAATAAATAATAATAATAATAAATCTTTAAAATTTTTTTTGTTGTTGTTCAACTGAAAATAGGCCTTGTTGTCTTTGAGTAACACCAGAGGGTAAACTACTTAGGGGTGTTTGAGAGACAAACATCTGGTAGACTCTGGACCTGTTATAACCATAGTACATCAAATGCTCCTTTTGTGGGCTGGTGCCATGGCACAGTGGCTTGGGCTGTCGCTTTTAGTACTAGCTTCCCGTATGGACAGCCAGTTTGAGTCTCAATTGCTCTACTTCTGATCCAGCTTCCAGAATCTTGGAAAGCAGGGGAAGATGGCCTAAGTATTTTGGCTCTTATACTCATGTGGGAGGCCTGGAAGAAGCTCCCAGCTTTGTTGCAGCCATGGGGGCAGAGTGGGGTGTGAGGGGAGGGAGTGAACTACTGTACCAGCGAATGAATTAGCTCTCTCTCCCTCCTCTTGTATGATCAGTCAAATGTAGGCATTTCACTGGTTCAGCCTAAACACCTATGACCCAAACAAGGTACTAATAATCTCACCAAGTACCAATCTTCTTGTATGTAAAACGGAGAAAATTAGCTCCATCTCTCAGGGTTGACTGAGGAGCCAGCTGAACACCTAGACTTAAGTATGCCGTAAAGGGTGGTTTTTGCTTCTCCAAATGTGTTGTAATAAAGCTTTATTATTTTCATAGTGGAAAGAAGCAACAGTTATGGCACATTTTATTAAGTTAAAGAGAGTGAAGAAATGGAAATGAGAGCCTAAAATTATGATTTTCTCCAAGAGCTGAGACCAGGGGGCCCATGTCCTGAGAGATGAAGGGGATGATATGTCACAAGAGTAAGAAGTCAAAGGAGAGAAAGGAAGGAAGCCAGGCATGGAAAAAAGGAAAGTTCTTGGTACCCAGAGTTGGCCCAAAGAAGCAGGGGTTGGGCTAAGGCAGGAGGAAAGGAAATGGCTGGGAGCAGGATCTGGGAGAGAATATTCCAGGGACTCCCTCTTTAAGCTTTGCCTATGCAAGCCTTGAGGAAGGAAACCCCCTCTCTCCCCTGTGGACTAAATGATTAATAACAAATTTACATGTGTCAAGAGCCTATGGCCCTCACAATGTTTTTATAACCACAGATTTGACCTTGGGGATTATACGCAGCTGTGACATTTTCCATGGGGTCTGCCCAATGGATTTGTCCAAATTTAGAGAAGGAAAAAAAGATTCTTGGATTATTGTTCTTTGGCCTGCGTGACCAAAGAGATGACCTCAGGAAGGGACCAGGACACCTGGGCAGGGGTGCAGCCTGAGGCTAGGACGGGTGGGGAAGAGATGGGGCCCCCCCGGCTCACCTTTCTCATGGTCTGAGGTGGAACAGCTCCAGGGCTTGCAGGCCTGCAGAAGCCCCCTGGACATGATGTGGATTGAAGTGTGGATTCTATGGCTGACATTCGTGGGCCAGCGCTGGTGGAAGCGGCTCCCGGAAGGGCTCAGCCATCTCTTGGAGAAGATGATGGCTAGGAGCAAAAGGAAAGCCACGAGGCTGAGCTCCGAGGCCAAGACCTGGGCCATCCAGCGGGAGCTGTGTGTGATTCTCCATTGAAAGGGCAGCCGAGAGTTCCGGCGGATTGGCTGGGCCAACTGACCATTACTTCTGGTCAAAGGGGCCTCAGTCTGCACACTGGCTTTTTGCCCCAGGCTCGCCTCCATCACATCCCGATTCCCACCCCACTCTGCCTTCCCAGATTTCAGATAGTGTTCTCTTCCTTCTCCTGACTGCCTGAGTTCCCTCTCCCTGTCTGGAACCCTCCATCTTGCCTCCTCTGCCCTAGTTTCCCCTTCCCTCGCTGTGGGAGAGTGGCCCATCCTCTGAACGCTTGCATCAGGCGAAGTTGCCACCACAGGACTTGGGGCCCCAGAAAGAACAGGGGGCCTTTTATGAGGCCCCTGAGTTCCTGATCCATAGAAGGCCTCCGCCCCATCCATCTGGGCAAGGTCCTTAACTGCCATGGAACATCCTAGGGAGCTGTGAGAGGGGGGAGGGGCCCTGGCTTCAGTTCCCAGCCTTGTGGTCCAGCACAGAACTGTGTACCTGATGCCTGCTGCCGGCTGCTACCTCTCTTTGCCTAAGAGCAGTGATCTCTGAGATTCCCCCTTTCTCTTCCTCCATCTGAACCCTAACAGCCTGATGTTCATTGACCAATTAGCCTAGGGGGAGAAGCATAATATCCTCCCTCCTCACGAAGGTCTCCGAACAATGTCATTAATCTCCCTTTTCTGGTGGTTGCCACCAAGCCCTGTTCTGATCTTCCTTTTTTTTTTTTTTAAAGATATATTTATTTTTACTGGAAAGACAGATCTACACAGAGAAGAAGATACAGAGAGAAAGATCTTCTGTCCGATGGTTCACACCCCAGGTGGCTGCAATGGCCAGAGCTCAGTTCAGAAGCCCAGAGCCAGGAGCTTCTTCTGGGTCTCCCATGTGGGTGCAGGGTCCCAAGGCTTTGGGCCGTCCTCAACTGCTTTCTTAGGCCACAAGCATGGAGCTGGATGGGAAGCAGGGCCGCTTAGATTAGAACCAGTGCCAATACGGGCCATGGTGCCAGCTTCTTTCCTTCCTTCCTTCTTTCCTTAGTTTCTTTCTTCCCCTTTCTTCACTTCCTTCTCTTTCAGGACTAGAACTGGGAGGATGAGGCGGAGTCAGGAGATGTCACACAATCCAAGATTATTCTAACCTCCCTTTTCGGTGACAGAAAATTGAGTCTGAGCTCTAGTGGCTCAGTTCCTGGGAGAAGAGAGTCTTTCAAACGAGATATGAATGGAAGGCGAAGGCCACTGGAAGTGCTTTTGTTGTGGGTAAGGATGCAGGCCTTGGTGCCCGACACACAGACACACAGACTTGGACCTCCCTCTTAATTACTTCTTTATGCCTCAGTTGACTCATCTATACCACAGGGAAATGCTAGTAATGGGTAAGTCATCATTTATATTGTGTAAATGATGAATGTAAGTCATCATTTAAATTATATTTATATTTTTGTGGCCTTTCACTAAGCAAAAAAAGGAGCTCAAACATGCAAGACATCCTCACCTCTTAATGGCATCAAGGGATGGGACAAAACCAAGCAAATGGCCAAAAGGAGAGGTCACCTTGAATTTCAAGGTCAAATGTATAGCCCAACTTCCGGATGGTTGGACTGGAAAGCAGGGATGCAAAGGTTCTTCTCCAACTCTGCTCTCTGCCCCTTCCAGAGGCTTATTCCTCTGCACACGACAGACTTACTGGTCTAAACCACACATGGCCCACACACCCCTAGCTGTCTGTCTTCCATCTGCTACCACCAGCATGGAGACCTCTTAGAGCCAAGTCCACATACTCTCTGGCTCCGCCAGGTGCAAGTGCCATCCTTAAAACAATGAGTCACAGCCAGGGCACCACGTCAGGAAGATGGAAGGAGGAGGGGACAGTAACTGAAAGGGCCTCTTGACAACGCCATCCAAGGAAAGTCAGGAATCCTAGGATTAAATTTCCTTCCTTGAATCCTTTTCTGGTTTTTCCTGCAGTTCATAAGTGTTTCTAATAATAACCCACAGTTCCCACAGCAACATACCAAACACAGAAGAATCTTGGAAATGAAATGAAATGTTTCCTGAAAAATTCAGCTCCCGGAAGATGACACTTTAAATATACCATTTTCACAGGGCTCATCCACAACTACAATTAATCAAATCGCGCAGTAAGCACACATGTTTATGACTGTATGGTATTTTCTTCAAAAGCAGAATGAGTGGGATGGGCATTTGGTGCAATGGTTAAGAAGTTGCTTGGGAGGGCCTTAGCACAATGACTCAGTGACTAAATCCTCACCTTACATGCACTGGGATCCCATATAGGCGCTAGTATATGTCCTGACTGCTCCACTTCCCACCCAGCTCCCTGCTTGTGGCCTGGAAATGCAGAAGAGGATGGCCCAAAGCCTTGGGACCCTGTACCCACATGGGTGACTCAGAAGAAGCTCCTAGCTCCTAGTTTCAAATCAACTGAGTGGCCATTGCAGCCACTTAGGGAATAAACCAGTGGACAGAGTTCTTTCTATGTCTCCTTCTGTCTGTAGCTCTGCCTTCCTAATGAAAATAAATCTTTTTTTTTTTAAAGTTATTTCTTGGAAAGGCAGAGTTACAGAGAGAGAAAGAGAAAAGCACAGATATCTTCTATCCACTGGGTTACCCCCTAAATGGCTGAGACAGCTGGGGCTGGGCCAGGCTAAAGCTAGGAGCCTGGAACTCACAAGTGTGGCAGGTACTAAGTACCAAGGTCATCGTCCACTGCTTTCCCAGGTACATTAACAGAAGGGGAGCCTCTGGAACATGAACAGGTATTCATGTGGGATGCCAGGACTTAACTTGATGCAGCACAACACTGTTCCATGCATAGCTTTTCATACTGCACTCTTCCCATAACCTTATTTTTTTAAAGATTTATTTTTATTGGAAAGGCAGATTATAGAGAGAGGAGGAGAGACGACAAGATCTTCCATCCAATGGCTCACTCCCCAAGCTGCCACGACAGCTGGAGCTGCACCAATCCAAAGCCAGGAGCCTGGAACTTCCTCCGGGTCTCCCACGCAGGTGCAGAGTCCCAAGGCTTTGGGCCATCTTCAACTGCATTCCCAGGCCACAGAGAGCTGGATGGGATGTGGGGCTGCTGGGATTAGAACCGGCACCCATATGGGATCCTGGCACGTTCAAGGCGAGGACTTTAGCCGCTAGGCCACTGCATCAGGCCCTCCCATAACCTTTTTAAAGACCCCCAGTCATATACATGGATTTTGAAATGTTTTGTTTGCAGTAGCATAAACTTGTCATTTCATTCCATTTTCTTCAAGCTTTTGGAAGTACCTTCCTTTCGATTACTTCCAGTTTCTGGGTTGAGTGAAAAGTACCCAGGTATTCATTACATTAGATTTCATATAATCCTAGAAACGCATCAAATGTTGTTTTTCCAAAGGCAATTAAAAATAGTTCAAGACAGGAAATATAATCTTAGTAGTTAGTAGCTCTCAATGACAGGTATTTACATAATCACAGGGTATAAGATAAACACACCACATAGCTTCTCTACCCCTAGAATCAACAACCGAACAAAGCAAGGAAGACTTCATCATAGCTCCACAGGTCAACAGAACTCTTATCAGACCTCAGGTGACCCAACCAACAGCCCTGAAAAGGTCAACCCCAAGGTGCAAGGAGAGAGCTGAAGGGCACGTGGCAGCCGTCTTGCTAAGGATAGACGAGGAGTTGGTGGAGAAACAGCATCTGTGCCCCTGCAGTGTTAATAGCAATGATTCCTGTTCGGCAGTAGCAGAGGGCAAACATTTTCTTTAACATCCCCAGGTAGCTCCTGCTTTTGGCTTTGCAAGCCAGACAGGGTCTCTCACTAAGACTCAATTTGAGAGCTGACACAGACTATGGGTAATTGAATAGGCCTGGCTGTTCCAGAAAAGCTTGGTTTTACAGCCCAGGTCATGGCTTGTCTGGGGCTGCCCTGTGTCATCTCCCAGAGTTCCCCTGCAGGAATGCTCTGTACCACCTCCCAGTCTCCCATGGTAGTAACAGGTGTGATGCCCTTTATATATCTTCTTCCCTTCTTTTTCTTATTTCTTCCTACTTTTTAAAAAAGACTTATCTTCATGAATTTGAAAGGTACAGCTGAGGCAGATGAAGTCAAAAGAGAGATCTTCCATATTGGTTCACTCCCCAAATGATCACAACAGCCAGGGCCAGGCCAGGAGCCAGGATCTACATCTGGATCTCCCAATGGGTTGTAGGGGAGCAAGCCCTTTGCCATCCTCTGCTGCTTTCCCTGCATTAGCAGGGAGCTGGATTGGAAATGGAGCAACTAGGACTTGAACCAGTGCTCATACGGGACTGCAGGCAGCAGCTAACACACCAGAGATACAATACATCAGAGACGCAGCTCTAAAATACTTCTCTTTTTTTCAGGCTTAATGCCCAGTTTTTAGGTGCCCATGTCACTTGAGACTTCCAGACCTCATCAGGACTACACATGTCAACTAGGACCAGAAGCCTTCCTATTTGTGGAGACCCATAAAACCTTGAACTTGGCTATTTATCATCTCATTTCAGATCCACTCCCTGCAGACACAGGAATCCTGATAAATGCTCATTATATATCTGGAATCAGATATAGGTACACATGCACACACACTATATGTGTTTGTATAGTGCATTTTCAGTTAAAAAGATCAAATTGTGTAAGATAATACTAGTAGGGGAGAACGTCAGTTTTGACATGAACGGAAGCCTCTGGTTTGTCATTTCTTTCTTTCTTTTTTTTTTTTTATTTTAAATTTTATGTTTATAGGAGCCCAGATCCAATTCCAAGTCTCCTTCGCGGGTGCAGGGTCCCAAAGCTTTGGGCCGTCCTCCACTGCTTTCCCAGGCCACAGGCAGGGAGCAGATGGGAAGCAGGACTGCTGGGATTAGAACCGGATTAGAACCGGCACCCATATGGTACATTACTATCATGGTACAAATGGCCTAAGTCACCACTAGCATCTCATATTGAAGTGCTGGTGGAAGTCTTGACTGCTCTGGTTCTGATCCAGCTCCCTGCTAATGCCTGGGAAGGCAGCAGAAGACAAGCCATGTGCCAGGGCCCCTTACCACCACCCACATGGAAGACCAGAATGGAGTTCCTGAGTCCTGGCTGGGCCCGTCTGAGGAGTGAACCAGTGGATGGAGTCTGCCCCCTCACCCTCCAACTCTGCCTTACACATAAATCATCTTCATAAAAGAAAAAAACAAAAAAGATCTCATGGCTCCTACGAATCAGGGATTCAGGTATGGCCTAGCTGGGTCTACTGTTTCACGCTCTCTCATGAGGACATAATTGAGGGGCTGTCCTGGGATGTGGGGATCCCACCTGAAAGCTCAAGAGGGTCAGAATCACCTGTCACACCCACTCAGCAGTTAGCAGGGGCTACCCCAGCCTTTCATCAGAACCAACTGTGCTACCTTCAGCCCTCAAAGGCAAAAGCATTACCGAAAGGCATGAACACTAGGCCCTGAGAACCACAGGGCCACCCTGGAAGACTATCTGGCACACCTAACATTTGCAAAGTAAATGTCTCCCCAGGTTCCCCTTGTGAGGTCAAGTCCTTGCTGCTCCACTTCCAATCCAGCCCCCTGCCAATGCACCTGGAAAAGCTGCAAGGCCCAGCCAGGGTGGGTGAAGGGCAGTCCAGGAGGAGGCTGAGAAAGGTGGCTGGTAAAGCCACACCTGAAGAACGCAGCTCCCTTCTCAGCAATGTATGAATTCACCAAGGTCAAAAGGAATCTACAGCACTCTGTCGTACCATATTAGACGCATTTCTTTGTCCCCCTCGCAAGCCCACCTTTCCAGCCCCTGATAAAAAGGATTCCTCACGTTCGTGAGGTGTGACTTACCTGGCCCGATGTCTGTACCGGACCAGTGAACCTCACCCAGGAGTGCTCCCAGTAAAGCTTGTTTTAAGCTTAACTTTATTCTGTGTGGGTTTCTGGTTCTGAACATGAACTTGAACCTTACAAAAGCAACTGAAGACGACTCAAGTGCATGGGCCCCTGCACCCACGTGGGAGTCCTGGAGGAAAATTCTAGTTCCTGGTTTCAGCTTGGCCCAGCCCCGGCCACTGAGGCCATTTTGGGGAAACCAGAGGATGTTACGTCTATTGTCCTCCACTGTAACTCTACAGTCCTACAGTCTCAAATAATAAATAAATGTAAAAAAAAAAAAAAAAAAAAAAGACAAAAGTAGGGACAGGAAGCAGCGGGTGCGGCTCGGGAAGGGGGTGCGGCGGTGGAAGCCCCGAGGCATGGTCAAACGCCCAGTGGCAGAGGTGCGTGCGGGGACCGGTGGAAAACGCCAGCCCCTGCAGCTGGGTCAGTAAGCGAATCCTGACTGGATTAGCCAACCAGCTCCATTCAGAACCCCGGACTTCTTCTACACTGCCGGTGCCACGACGAGAGTCGGGCGCGCCCCTGGAGACGCAAGGGAGGCCTGAGAAAAGGCGTGGGCGCGCAGCCGCCCGGAGAGAAAGAGCTGGAGTCTGAGCTCGTCACGGACGCTTCCCCGGGGCCGGCCGCCCTCACGTGGGGAGGTGTGAGTGCTGAGGACCGGCCGGAAGACGTGCGAAGCCCGGACAGCCGGGCGCCAGGCCGCGGCGCGCGCCCCGCGCGCTCTCCCTCAGGGAACCGCCGGGCAGCCTGGCGCGGGGCGGGGTCCGGCCTGGGAGGCGTGGCCAGCGCCGGAGGCGGGGCCGTGGGTGGCCAGGAGGAGGGAGAACATTGAGGATGAGCCACCCGCCACAGCCGCGGCCTCATCATCCCCCACGTCTTTCTTCCTTTCCCCTCTTGCATTCCCACCTTTCATGCACACCTGTGGTCCTCACCCCGCCAGGTTCTCCCTTGTCCCATGTATCCATGCTTCCTGCCCTCAGCCCTTTTGAGACGGTCCTGCAGACTGCAGATCCCTCCAGGCTTGCACAGTGAACACCCAAGTGCGGAAGGATCTCTAAGATAAAAACACCAGTGCTCGGGAATCAGAAAGCATGGCTACTCCCTCCTCTCCCTGTTTTATCAGTTCCTTGTCTTTCATGTGCCTTCGTAACTCTACATACCTCAAATCTGGTCACTGTCTCGCCCCATTCTGCCACTATCAGAACATCTGGACTGGAAATGGGGGTGAGGAGCTTGTGGCATGCGTGTGTATGTAGCTGGGTGTCCGCCCCTGGGTGTGAGTCTGTCCACTGCAGTATCCTGACATGTCTCTGCCCTCAGTGGGGAGGAGGGTACCCCACCAGGAAGTTGCAAGGATTGCAGGGTAACCCCTTCCATCCCCACCCCATCACCACCTTCACTTCCTGTCCTCTTAGCCTGTTGCTACTTCCCAGGCTGCTTCCTTCTTTGTCTTCTAGGTCTCAGCTGAAATGTCATGTCCTCCAGGATTTTCTCTACAGCCACCCTCCCACCATACACACACACACACACACACACACACACTCACACATACACACAGTGTCCCAGTCTTTGGCTGTTTTCTCATCATGGCACTCACTGCTACCTGGTTTCATCTTACTCATCCATCTGCTGGTCTGTTAATCACAGCTCTTTTCTGCCTTCCCATTCCCATAAGGAAAGCTTCCCAAGGACAAGGCCCATGTCTTCTTTCTTTCTTTGCAAGACAGTTCCCCTCTAGTCAGCTCACTCCCCCAAATGCTCTCAATGTCCAGCTCCCAGCTGTCCGATGGCAAATGGCAGGGACCCACCTACTTGGAGCCATCATCTGCTGCCTCCCAAGGTCTGTATCTCAGGATGCTGGATCTGGGAGCTGAATCCAGGTGGGGACTGGGGCACCATCCCCCTAAGCCAAATGCTCAGCCAGAACCCGATCTCTTTCCTCTGCGTATCTCCAGCCTGGAGATCAGAGGCTGGCTCACGGAAGGCACTCAGTGGAAAAGTGTAGAGTTGAACACCAAGATGCTGGGCTGCTCACAAAAGGGCGGGCCTTCCTTGCTGCCCTTTTTGTCCTGCTCACTGCTTCTTCATCCCCTACCAGAGTTTCAACCAAATCTTCTCTGATGTTTTATTCTCTAGCCTGCAACAGCCCCTGATCATCCACAGCAGCTACAAACACACCATCCCCTCTGGTCTCCCCGAGAGAGGCCAGCTATGCACCAGGTCTGTAAGTCCCCTGTTGTCAAGCAGAACTGACCTCTGCTCTTGACAGTCTGTCCCTCCAGCCTGTGATCCATGCAAATCACATTTGTACACTGCTGCTCCTGTAAGGCACATAGTTAAGTTCACCAACATTTATTGAGAATTTTCCACGTCAGGCTCCGTGGCAGGTGAGCTCTTCAAAGTCACATACAGCCCACATGCCCTTGCCTTTGTGTCCTGGGGCTGGATGCCAAGAATGAACCAGAGGAGAAGTGTCACAGCCAGGCTCTGGGAAGGCCATGCCCCATGCTCCATGCCCCACTTGCAAGCAACAGTCTGCTGTCACCTCCTCCTGGCCTTGTGCAGGGCACTTTGTCATCTGAAAGCATACATGGACGTGGCAGGGCAGCAACACTGGCTCTGTTCTCTCAGCACCAAAGAGTTTCTGAAAGTCCAGTGGGCTCGCCAACTGACCTCTGGAACACAGCTCCCATTTCTTTACCCAAACCTGGGACTCAAGTGCAATTCTGAAATCTGAGGCTGAGGTTGGCTGATAATGATGACAGTTCAAGATGGAAGGTTCAAAGACCAACAAAAGAGCTGTAAAGAGCTCCTAGGAGGCCATGGACTCCAGCTGCTGGCTAACTTCAGTCCTTCGTGTGGCTCTGCTGGCTGCTTGGCCATTCCTCCAACACTCTTTCCAACTGTCCCAGAGCCCTGGCCACCAGGAGACCCAGAACCCAGGGCTCTCCTCCCTAGCTCTGGCCTCCAACTGCCAAGCCACACCCAGAACAGTGTCCTCCTTGGAGAGAATTAGGAATATGAGGGTTAAGAGAAGACGTGGAAGGCGGGACAACAGGGAGACACCACCACACACACTGTGTTCAGTAGCTAGTTTCCCATATGCACACACATGCACCTACACTGACACACACACTCCGCCTCCCTCTGGAGGAAGAACAGGCTTGGGAGGACAAGGGAGACTGCCAGGAATGCAATTTAATATTCCCAGACTCAGATGCAAGCACCAGTAGTTGTCATAGAAACATGCATGCATGACTTGGGTGGGGAGTGGCAGTTCTTGCTCGCCCCCTCTGAGCTATTGCATTCTTGAACTTTACCTCCAGGGGAGCCTTTTTTTGGACTGCATTGACCTAGTTTTCACTCCCTGGGCTAGGGGCATAGCAGGGATACCCATCGGCTGGGAGCCAGACTAGCTCAGTACCCACTGGGTAGTAAACCTCTATCTCGCTAAGTGGCAGGTTGACACCATTCTTCCTTATTGCAGCGGCCTTAGACAGGGTTTGTCCATGAAATCGGAGTTCGATTTTATTGGCTACCCCATCCTTCAGCTGTGTCCTACTGACTGCTACCAGAGGCAGCGTTTCTGAGGACAGTGCATCCAATGAATGAATGTGTGGGCTTGGTCATCTGCTGGCTGTGCTGTCATTTTGTCCTGGCCTCTGCCCCTCCCCTAGCCTGACTTAGGGTGGGGGAGTACTAGAGGTGCCTGGAGAGGGCTCAGTGGCCTCCAGAAGCCCCTGGTGCTGGCGAAGGTGCTTCCGCCTTTCGTGTTCCCCAGTAACTTCACACACCAACTGGGCAGGGAAGGCCCCAGGAAGTCCTCTCAGCCAACCTAAAGGAAAGAAAGGGGCCCACATGGGGAGGGGGCAGAGGTCAGAGGAGGAAAAAGAAGCTACCCCTACCCTGGGGTCTCTGGTCTTGGGGATCAGGGTAGGGGTAGGACTTAGTGGAGAAGCCCAAACTGTTTTCTGAGAACGACATGGCAGGTGCAGGGGACCACACCTTCAGAGAGGATCTGGGTGGCCCTGCCAAGCAACAGCAATGGCTAAGGTCGGAGGTGGAGTTCCCACCTGAACCTGCAAGGGCCCCCATGATTTGATCCCTGTTTGCTCTTTGACCTTGCTCACGTCTTCCCCTTTCTTGCTCCTGTGACTTACACTGGCCCCCTTAGAAATTCCCAATCATCTTCTATGCCCTGGCATCTTTCCGCTGCCTTTACTGGGACCCTTTTGCTCAGTGTCACATGGTGTACCTCCATCAGGCTCATATGTCCCTTCTCTAGGAGGTCCACCTCAGCTTCCCTATGCAACACTGTAACTCAAGTGTGGATATCTGGCCGACAGTCGAGTGCCTGGGGTTCCTTAACCAACTCTTACTCCAGCTTCCTACTAATGCAGACCCAAGGAGGCAACAATGATGCTTCAAGTAATTGAGTTCCTGATACCCATATACTAGGAGACCTGGACTGAGCTCCTCCTCCATCCTAGCTCTGCTCTGGCCTAGCCTAGCCTTGGCCTTTGTGGATACTTGGGAAGGATTCAGCGGATGAGGGAATATGTTTTCTCTCTCTCTCATTCTATCATTCAAATCAATTAATTTTGGACTGGTACTGTGACGTAGCACACAAAGCCATCACTTGTAGTGCTAGCATCCAATATAGGTGCCAATTCAAGTCCCAGCAGCTCCATTTCTGTCCATCCAAAACCTTGCTCATGCATCTGGGAAAGCAACAAAAGATGGCCATAGCTTGGGCTCCTGGCTCCCTGCTTTGGAATGGTCTTGCTCTAGCCATTGCACCTAGTTAGGGAGTGAACCAGCATATAGATTTTTCTCTCTTTCTAACTCTACCTTTGAAATAAATAAATAAATGTTTTATTTTATTTTAAGGTCTTATTTATTTTTATTGGAAAGTGAGATACACAGAGAGAAGGAGAGACAGAGAAGAAGAACCATCTGTTGATTCACTCCCCAAGTGGCCACAATGGCCAGAGCTGAGCTGATCCTAGGAGCCAAGAGGCAGGAACCTCCCCCAGGTCTCCCACACAGGTGCAGGGTCCCAAGGTTTTGGGCCATCCTCGACTGCCTTCCCAGGATACAAGCAGGGAGCTGGATGGGAAGCAGGGCAACCAGGATTGGAACCAGTGCCCATATGGAATCCTGGCATGTGCAAAGTGAGGACTGTAGCCGTAGGGCTACCATGCCAGGCTATGTTTTACTGTATTTTTAATATTTTATATTTATTTTTCTTGTGAAAGTCAGATCTACAGAGAGGAGGGGAAAGAGAGAGACAGATCTTCTGTCTGCCAATTCATTTCCCAAGTAACCACAACGGCCAGAGCTGAGCTGATCCAAAGCGCCGGGAGCTTCTTCCGGGTCTCCCACATGGGTATAGAGTCCAAGGCATTGGGCCATCCTCAACTGCTTTCCCAGAACACAAGCAGGGAGCTAGATGGGAAGTGGGGTCACCGGAACACAAACAAGTGTCCATATGGGATCCTGGAGCATACAAGGCGAGGACTTCAGCCACTAGGTTACCATGCTGGGCCCAATAAATATTGTTTTAAAAATAAATTAATTCTGGATCCAGCTCAATGGTTCAATTGGTTACTCTTTCCATTGCAAGGTCTAGGATCTCATATGGGTACCAGTTTGTCTCCCAGCTGCTCCACTTCCCATCTAGCCCCCTGCTTGTGGCCTGGGAAAGCAGCAGAGGATGACCTATGGTTTTGGGACCCTGCACTCACGTGGGAGACCCGGAAGAAGCGCTGGACTCCTGGCTTCGTATTGGCTCAGCTCTAGCCATTTCATCCACTAGGGGAATGAACCATGGATGGAAGATCTTTCTCTCTGACTCTCCTTCTCTCTGTAGATCTGCTTTTCCAGTCAAAATAAATACATCTTTTAAATTTTTTAATTTTGTTTTTTAAAAAACAGAATGGTGGCTGCCCAACCCAGGAACTCTTGCCCCCTCTACTCTGCCCACTTTTGCCTTCTCCAAGGCCCACTCACAGATGCCACATCGCCCACTCACTTTGGAAGCTCACTCTTTAGTGTCTACCTCCCCTGCTAGCCTGTGTGTGTCAGCTTCACGGCACCTACCACAGCCAGAGGCACATCACTTCATAGACAGTCACTGAGTGAGCACGCCAGCATCTCTCTCACCTTCTGGGCTCTTGTGCAGGGGCTTGGGGGCAGCCTTGGACTCCAGTCGCTGTCCCTCGACCTTAGTAGGTGTAGCTGGCTCTGAGCACAGTTCCTGTGAGCACTCTGGTTGGGGAGGAGTGACATTGCAGTGACAGCCCATTGCATCTCCTGCTCTCCTCCCCTCACTCCCCCCCAGGAGAATACTCACCACAGTCCTCATAGATGGTGTCTGGGGAGCAGGGAAGCGGGCCAGGGGTCGGGAAGGCTCCCAACCAGCGCTGCATGTCTGACCTACGTTGGGGGATGGACACAGGAAGGGGCACAGCTGGTCCATGGAAGAAAGAGATTGGGAAGACAGGGAAAGATGGGGCCCAAGAGGTCAAGTCCAGGAACCAAGAGTGTTCTGAGGGAGTCGCTACTCACAGGGATGAAGCTTGGAGTAGCCGGTGTGTAGGACGGCCCTGGTGGTTACTGAGAAGGGAGAGGCGGAAGGTAGGGGGTCCAGATGGATCTGGAACCTGTTGAGCTTGGACCAGGGAGCGGTGGGCATAGTCCAGCACCTGTAGCCGTTGACCGCTACCCAGGGAAGAGGATGTTCAGAGGAGAGCTGGGACGGAGTGGAGCAAGGAATTGTCCCATTACATGTCCCCTCTCTCAACCCCATCTTGGTCTGGCTCCCATCTGGGACCCACCTCTTGGGCCGAGTGATGAGCAGCAGGTCACTAAAGAGCAGCAGGCAGAGGGAGGTGATGCGGGGGCGCGAGGTGAAGAGCACGCCCCCCCGGCGGCACCCCAGCTCTGTCAGCTCGCCCTGCAACTCCAGGCGTCTCGACCAGGAGACCAGGGGCAAAGCCTGTAGGGGGAAGCACATATGGTGGCTGGCAGGCTTACCCTGTGGCGCAGCCGCTGGTGGGGGGGGGGTGCGTAGGCAAGGACTGACCTTGACTTTGTGGAAGCGCAGCCTCTGGGTGAGCCGAATGAGCTCCTCTGTCTGCTTCATGCGGCCCACCTCCGCGCTGCAGCGCTCAATGATCTGAGCAAAGGGCACAGAGTCACCCACCCTGGCACCAGCACACCCCCAGCCCATCCCACGTCCCAACCCAGCTCCCTTGCCACCTTGCACACGCCCACCTTGCTGACTGCACTCAGGGCTTTCTGTGCATTTTCGTGGCGGCTGGACCCCTCCTCTGTCTGGCGCAAAATATTCTGTGGACAAAAGAGGAAGCATGACGGAGACCCCTGTCTCTGTGGCCCTGGAATTCAGAGGGGGTCCCTGTTCAAAGGGTGATGCCTGGCTTGGTAAGAAAGCTCAGTCTGAGGTTCATAGGTTTGGGAGACCAGCACCCATAAGGCAGAGACAGCTCAGCATGCATTATCTGCCTGACCTCAGTAAATCCTGGTGCTTCTGCAAGCCTCAGTTTTTCCCATCTGGAAAAGGAGGATAACATCTCCCATCCCCAGGGCCCCAGCACAGCAATAGCATCATGAGAATTCAAGGAGGTGGTACTCGGCTTAGTTGTTGGCACAACATAAATATAATAATTATTAATGATACAAATGTTATAAATGATTATTGGTCACAAAGGTGTGCAAAAACTATGCTGGAAGAGTTAACAGCGCCTGGACTTTGAGGCGAGTGTTGTGCTGCAGGAGGCTAAGCTGCTGTTTCCGTCCTTCCTTTTTTTAAGATCGATTTATTTTTGGCCCGGCGCGGTGGCCTAGCGTCTAAAGTCCTCACCCTAAATGTGCCAGGATCCCACATGGGCACCATTTATAATTTCGGCAGCTCCCTGCTTGTGGCCTGGGAAAGCAGTCAAGGATGGCCCAAAGCCTTGGGACCCTGTACCCACATGGAAGACCTGGAGGAAGTTCCTGGCTCCTGGATCCAGATTGGTGCAGCATCGGCCGTTGGGCTCACTTGGGGAGTGAATCATCGGACGGAAGATCTTCCTCTCTGTCTCTCCTCCTCTCTGTATATCTGACTTTCCAATAAAAAATAAATCAATCTATTTTTGTTTTTTAAAGTGGCCACAACAGGGCCCGGTGGCATGGCCTAGCGGCTGAAGTCCTCGCCTTGAATGTGTCGGGGTTCCATATGGGCGCTGGTTCTAGTCCCGGCAACTCCACTTCCCATCCAGCTCCCTGCTTGTGCCCTGGGAAAGCAGTTGAGAACGGCCCAAGGCTTTGGGACTCTGCACCCGTGTGGGAGACCTGGAGACAGTTCCTGGATCCTGGCTTCGGATCAGCATAGCATCAGCCGTTGGGCTCACTTGGCGGGGAGTGGATCATCGGATGGAAGATCTTTCTCACTGTCTCTCCTCCTCTCTGTATATCTGACTTTCCAATGAAAATAAATAAATCTTTAAAAAAAATAAAAATAAAAAATAAAGTGGCCACAACGGTCAGAGCTGAGCCAATCCGAAGACTGAATCCAGGAACTTCCTCCAGGTCTCCCAAGCTTTGGGCTGCCCTCAACCACTTTCCTAGGCCACAAGCAGGGAGCTGGATGGAAGCGGGGCTTCCAGGATACAAACCAGCACCCATATAGGATCCTGGCACGTGCAAGGCGAGGACTTTAGCCACTAGGCCACTGCGCCAGGCCCTAAGTGCAGATGGAAGCTCTCTCTCATCCTCTATTGCTTTACCTTTCATATGAACCACTTGCTTTTTTTTTTTTTTTAAGAATGCTTAGGTTTCAATTTTATCTCCATCAGCTATTTCTGTAGGACCTGAAGTGTCATTCAGACCTTGCCTCAGTTTACTCATCCATAAAGTAAGGTGGACAATAGATGCCCTTCACACAGCTGTCAGAGAAGCTAGCCAGGTATCCATCCCTTGGAACTGTACCTGGCTCCGCATGCTCAGTGGCTGCTGACCTATTAGGATTGGCGTTGTGCTTCCTGTGCTGTCTGTACTGAGAACAGATAAAACTGAATAAGAAGCTGATAATCTAGTTTGGGAACATTAAGATCCCCACAGTTGGTGACCCAGTTAGGGAGGAGACAGTACTGTGCAATCACAGAAGAATCTGTCTCAAACACTTTTTTTCTTTCAGTGCCATCTCTCCAGGAAGCTTCTTGGACTTTTTTTTCCTCCTGGACCATGAAATTTCAGTTCTATAGGGCCTGGCGCGATTGCATAGCAGTTAAAGTCCTTGTCTTGAATGTGCCAGGATCCCATATGGTTCTTTAAAAAAAAAAAAAAAAAAAAGATTTATTTATTGGAAAGTCAGAGATACAGAGAGGAGGATTCACTCCCTAAGTGAGCGCAATGGCCGATGCTATGATGATCCAAAGCCAGGATCCAGGAACTTCTTCTGGGTATCCCACACGGGTACAGGGTCCCAAGGCTTTGGGCCGTCCTGGACTGCTTTCCCAGGGCACAAGCAGGGAGCTGGATGGGAAGTGGAGCTGCCGGGATTAGAACCGGCGCCCATGTGGGATCCTGGTGCGTTCAAGGCGAGGACTTTAGCCGCTAGGCCATGCCACCGGGCCCCCATATGGTTCTAATCCCAGTGGCCCTGCTTCCTTTCCAGTTCCTTTCCATATGGGATCCCGGGCGCGCAAGGTGAGGACCTTAACCACTGCGCCACCTTGCTGGGCCCATAAAATAAATAAATCTTAAAAAAAAAATTCAGTTCTATAGACCTACAGTTTGGGATGTCACCTTGGAGGTGATGGCACTCTTAATGGTGGGGGGGGGGAGCCGGATGCAGATGTGGGAGAGGGAGTCCTTAGGACCACCCCCTACCCTGCTACAACTCCTCAGAGCTAAGTCAAGATCACACAGGACCAGAGGACCTTTGGGGGGAGGAGCTGTTGCAGAGCTGGCGGGCAGAAAGGGCTCCCAAGGTGAGAGGGTGGGGAAAGGGCGGGATGGGGTGGGGAAAGGGCGGGATGGGAGGGGTACCTGCAGTAGCATGCGAAGCCGAGTGATTCGCTGGAAGGGCAGAAGCAGGAAGGACGGCAGTGGGAGCCGCTCACACTTGGGGAGGCTCTGTAGTCGCCGAAGCTCTGCTGAGAAGCGCACGTTCGTGTCCCTGTGGAGACAGACCTGACAGTGAGCTGCCCCATGCCATGCTCTGCCCTGCCTGGATCACCAAGCCAGCTCTGCTCTCAGCCCCATCCCTGCTCCCAAGATTTCCTTTTGCACATCTCGGCTACAAATAGCTGCCCCTTCTCTGTGGTTTTGCTTTGCACAGTTTCAATGGTAGAATCAATAGATTAAATAGAACATTGTACAAACACATGGTGAGTTTTAAGTTGCACAACATCATAAGCAGCTGAGGAAATCTGACACCACCCAGCCATATTCCAACGGATGTTAAGTTATCCTTAGTCCAGCGTGTCCACGCTGTATACATTATGCTCTGTTAGTCCCTGGGTATCCAGCTTGGTTATCAGATCAGCGGTCGAGGGGGGCGTCTCACAGGGTTTGTGTCCAAGTACCTTAATCTTACTTAATAATCGAAGCAACCAGCAGTTTTTTGTTTGTTTTGTTTTGTTTTAGTGGTATACCATCATCACTGTTTTGTTACTAATGATTGCTATTGATCTCTGTGCCCAATTTACAAGCAAGACATCATCATAAGTGTGCACACCAATAGGAGAAAAGTTGGTGTCTGAAGGGTCAGGTGCTCTCCAAGTCAGCCCCTGGTGGTCTCCGGGGGACAAAGGCACTCACATGAGGCGGCTGTAGGTCTCCTCCTGGTACTGCTGGTTCCGCACATAATCCACATAGACAGAGAAAGGCCCCACAGCGTGGGTATGCACCACGTCACACAGGTCACTGATGTGGGGAGAGGAGCGCACCCGGGACAGCAACGTTCCCAGGAACCTGCAGGAGCGAACAGAGCAACTGTGAAGGAGGGTGCGGTGGGGGAGAGAGCTAGAGCCTCCCTAAGGTGGTGGTTGGGAGGGAAGGCCCTGGCCGGCCTGAGGAGGCTAGGGGAGACCCCACTGACCTCTCGCTGACGCCCTGGACCCGCTGCACGTTAGAGAAGAGGGTGTGATGGTCCCGGGGGGTGAGCGTGTCCCGGAGCGCCTGGCTCAGCACGAAGGTGTCTGTCAGCAGCCGCAGGGAGCGCAGGTAGGAGGCCTCGGACGTGACCACCTCAAACAGGCTCTAGGAAGCCAGAGAGCCCAGCATGCTGCTGGCCTCTGACCTGGACCACTTGCTCCCTGCCCCTGTGCTGACCCTGCCCAGCTCCTCCCTCCACCATGCCCACCTCCTGCATGCGCCTCTCCTGGGGGCTCAATGTGTCCAGGAGGCCACTGGCTTGCACAGCTGGAAGCTCCTGCCACAGGGTGTTCCGGGGCCCAGGGGGGCGAGCCAAGGTGGCTGTTTCTCCAGGGTTGGTGGGAGGAGGACCCCCATCCTCACCAACTCCCCACAACTCTTCTGACAGCACAGCTGCTCGGTAGGTCTGGTAGAGAGGTTCTAGGGGGTAGAGGGTATGGTGCACACAGAGCCCATCAGTCAAGTTCAGGGCCCTGGAACACTTCCCTCACTGCTTGATGGGCATTAGCAGGGACCACCACCATCCAGAAGCCCTCACCGTCCTGCAGGGGTAGCTCCCAGTTCTGTTCCTTCAGTCCCTCCAGCCCTTCCTCATCCCTGTGGAGAAAGAAAGAGAAGAGGGAGTCCCCAAGGACCACTGGGGGTGCACTCCAGGGAGTGCCAGTCACATGACATGGGAAGGGACTATAAAACCTGCAGATTGCCTGGAGGGACCCTGACAGCTCCCCAAGCCAAACCCCAGATTCTTAGATGTGCCTCTTCTGGGGGAGGCCCCCAACGAAGCAGGCCCCATCCAGTCCTATTGTCTCAACTACCATGCACCAGAGACTTACAAGTCTCAGTTCAGCGGTTTGTGACTCAGTGAAACTCTATATGAGTGAGCCTAAACTCTTTAAAAAAATTAACAAACTTTAAAAAATCATGTATTTATTTGAGAATTAAAAAGACAGACCAAAGATGGCAAGGACTGGGTCTAAGCTGAAGCTGAGAGCTGGGAACTCAATCCAGGTCTCCCACATAGATGTCAGGAACCCAACTTCTTGAGTTCTCACTTATTTTCAGCAGGAAGCTAGAGTTCAGGGTAGAATCAGGCAAATTCAAACTCCCACATCTCACTACCACCTGACGCTGTGCCTCCCCTGCTGACCAAGCCTGGATAACATGGTAAGGGTGAGTGGTGAGTGCCAAATGGACTTGCAGGCACCTGCAGTGGAGGCTGAAGAAGAGGAGCACATGCTATATGCAGGTCCAGCTCCTGAGCAACACGACAGCCCAGCAACTTCAGGAAGAGTTTGGGATGATTATTCCCATTTCGCAGATGAGGATCCTGAGATCCAGGAAGGTTGAGGATTTGTACAAGGTCACATAACCAGGAAGGGATAGAATTGGGTTAGAAACCAGGAGTGGATGAACAATGATGGGGTGTCACAACACCTGCGATGCTAGCATCCCCTGTCAAGGCACCTGCTCCAGTCCCAGCTGCTTCCTGCACCTAGGAAAGCAGCAGAAGATGGCCCAAGTGCCTGAGTGCCTGCAACCATGTGGGAGTGCCAGACCAGGACCAACGCACTCATTTGGGGAATAAGCCTGCGGACACACAATCTCTATGTCTCCCTCTTTCTCTGTAACTCAAATAAACAAGCAAGATTTCCAATAAAGAAGAAACTAGGGGTGATTATGTCTAGCAGTTCAGTCCTGCTTCCTTGCACTTACGTGGAGATGGGAGTTACCTAGGCCTGCAAGTTAACCTGCCATCAGGTAGTGGCAAAGGAAGGGGAGAAAGGGTTGGGGCATCCGGTACCTTCCTTCCACGGCTGCTGGAGGGGTGCTGTGAGAAAGAACTCCATCAGGACTGTCCCCTGGAGACAGAAGCCCGAGTGAGATCAGAGACCTGGACCACAGTCCCAACAGAGTCCATTGCTCTAAAACCCTCTACTCCCATCTGAGCCAGAGCAACAGGTGGTAGCAGAATGGAGTCCAGGGCTACAGGCTGCTGTTTGTCTCTACCCTGCTCTCCTTCACACAACCCAGAGGTTCCGCACCTGTTTGGATTCCGTCTTCAGAAAGCAGGTGCACATCTGGCTGTGGGGAGTCCTCAGGCACCGTGGTTTGGTCCTGCCTGGCCCGAGCTGGCTTGGGAGGCTTCAGGGGCGGCAGATGCTTGCGCTCCGCAGTGGAGCGGTAGGAGGTGAGAACCACAGGGGGATGATTGATGCCGGGAGGGTTGGGACGAGAGCGTGAGGCCCGCAGAGGGGAGGCCCGGCAGGGGGCTTTGGGGCCATCCCCAGAGGCCCCCACTGGCACCCATCGGAGTTCTAGGCCTGGCCGGGAGGCATGACAGATACAGGGGCAATGAGGTGGGCAGGCCAGAGCAGTATCTGTAAAAGAGACAGGGGGATCCTGTGGCGACACTCCTCAGTGACCTGGTCCCACTTTGCCCAGGGAGTCTTAACCTGGTCCAGGAACTAAAATGGCCACCCAGTGCCAGAAGCCTGTAGACCTCCTCCCTTCAATCCCCAGAAGAATGGAGATCAAATTTCTCAGATGTGGGATCCAGATTTGATAAGGTAGCCCCTGAGGGTTCCCGTTGCCAAGTGTTACAGCAGGAACGGGATGGAAGTCAGGCCACCTGCTCATGTGCTTACCTGAAGCACCGTTCTCCTGGGGCCCACCTCCAGTGGGGGCACCCTGGGGAGCCTCTCTCTCCCCATTCACATCAGCTCCTCCTGGGGAACCCCGCTCTGTAGCATCCACAGTCTGGGTCCTGCCTTCAGTGCCCCATTCAAACCTGCCAGCCAGTCTCCGCACGGTGCCAGGCACCGACGAGGCTGGGCTGTCCTGGGCCAAGCCCTCAGCTGTGGGGAGGAGTGGGAGCAAAGGCGTGCGGGGCAATGTGGAGGGCTTGGGTGGGGGGACAGGGGAGCGGGGAGCAGGTTCCGGGGAAATGGAGCGCCTGGATACGGGGCTGGGGGTGCGGGAAGGTGAGTCTGGAGAAGTCTGGGAGTCAAGGCTGCTTCTAGAAGCAGAGGGGGGCAGGAGGGCGGGAGGCTTGAGGGACACGGCTGGGGGTTCCCAGAAGAGAGGGGTGCACATGAGACCTGGGGCATCTTTGGAGGTTCTTGGAGGGGGTGTTTGTGGAGAGGAGCCATTCTGGGGAGGAGGTCCTGGGGAATGGGCAGTCCGGGCACGAGAAGGGGGCCGGGGGCGGATAATTCGAGGGGGCTTCTGGGTAGGGGGTGTCGCTGTAGGAAGGGACTGGGCCGACATCGTCCTCTGAGCTCTTCAAAGGGTTGGGGTACTCTGCTGGAGTCATCCCCTGAGGAGGAGAAAGAGGGAAAAAGACACCCCCCCACCTTAGTGCCACCCCCAGCAGGGAAGTCTGGTGGTGGCTCCACCTTCCTGTTGCCTTCTCCACCCCACTCCTCCTCCTCATTCTGTTGCATGTCTGCCTGATGTATCAGTGGTACGTGTGTGTGCGAGCCACAGTCAGTACTGTACCAGAGTTCATGAATGGTGTGTTGTGAGCACATACTCCTTTGGTGTTTAGGGTAGGTATGCAGTAGCTATGTAGGGTGTGGCCTGCCAATGAGCAGTGGGTTCAAGTCCCAGCTGTTCCACTTCCAATCCAGCTCCTTCCTAATGTGCCTGGGAAAGCAGTGAAAGATGCTTGGGCCCCTGCCACCTATGTGGGAGACCCAGATGGAGTTTCAGGCTTCTGGCTTCGTAGTGACTAGCTGCGGAGTGTATCAGTAGATGGAGAAACTTTCTCTCTCTCTCTCTCTCTCTGGCATTCTGCCTTTCAAATTAAAAAAAAAAAAAAAGACAAATCTTAACAACAAAAAAGGAAGTATAGAAGGTAATTGGTGGCTTTTGACCTGGCAGTTAAATCACCTGTAAGGATATTCACATGGCATGCATCTCCCTTGATTATGTAAATACTAAGAAAAACTATTTACTAAGGATAGTCATGCTCCACATCAGAGTGCCTGGGTTGGACTCCTGGCTCTGACTCCAGCTTCCTGCCAATGCGCGCAAGGCAGCAGGGAGGGCTCAGACGACTTGATTCCAATCACCCTCATGGGAGACCTGGATTAAGTTTGCAGCTCTTGGCTTGGGTCTGGCCCAGTCTGGGTCATTGCATGCCTGAACCAGCAGATAGTAACTGTCATGTTTTCTGCTCCTCAAGTAAATAAAAATTTAAAACAGAAAGATAGTACAAGGCACTTCATTAAAAAAAAATATGGAATACAAAATTAAAAGAAAAGCTTATCTGCTAGGCATGTGTTTGCAAGCAATGAATCTCAACTGAACTTGAACTATGGTTATGCAGCAAGGTGGAGGAATCCACCATGGGGGGAGGGGTATGGGGAGGGGTGGGGGGAATCCCCAGCGCCTATAAAACTGTACTACACAATACAGTGTAAGCAACAATAAAAAAAAAAAAAAAAAAAAAAAAAAAAAAAGAAAAGCTTATCTTGGTACAAAAAAAATTTTTTTTGAAAGCCATACATACAAGCATTCTTCAAAAGCTAGGAAAAAGTTTATGGAATACAAAATTAAAAGAAAAGTTTATCTTGGTACAAAAAAAAAATTTTAAAGCCATGCATACAAGCATTCTTCAAAAGCTAGTGGCTAAAGTCCTTGCCTTGCCTTGCATAGGGATCCCATATAGGTGCGGAATCGTGTTCAGGATACTCCACTTTTCACCCAGCTCCCTACACCTATGTGAGAGACCTAGAAGAAGCTCCTGGCTTCAGACCAGCCCAGTTCCAGCTGTTGTGGCCATTTGGGGAGTAAAGCAGCAGATGGAAAATGTCTCTATTTCTCTTTCATTCTAAATCTGCCTTTCCAATACAAATAAATAAATCTTAAAAAAAAAAAATCCCAGGTGACTGAATAGCATAAAAAATTCGCATGGCTTTCTATTATACTTTTGCTCCAAAAAAACAAATGTATATTTTTAATTTCATTGTCCATGAATTTCATGAAGTCCTGCAATGTGCAAGACAGGAGGCAGTGTGTTTGTGTGTGTGCTGTTGCAGGGACAGGGAAGTGTGTGCGCGCAAGCCCGGCCCCCGGCGGGGCTGCGAGGGATGCCTCACTGTTTCCCTGCTCCACCGCGTCCTCCGCCCCCCATTTCCCAGTTCCTCTCTCCGGACTCTCCCTTTCCGGATTATTTTTAGTCTCCTTTTCCTGCCGTGAAGATTCCTGGAGCCTCTGACCCCAGGAGATCAGGAGGCTCCCAGGCACAGTCTCTCTTGCCCTTAATCCTCTTATCCCTGCCCAGCTCTGGGGCCTGGTCATCTATCAAGAGACAGAGAGAGACCCCAGTGAAGGTCTGGGAAAGTGAACAGAAAGCCAAGCTGGGAGAAAGCCATAGAAGGCCAAGACTAGAGGATCCAAGCTTCCCTTCCTCCTGCAGGCAGGAGGCTGATGTCTCCTGAAGGCAGGAGGGTCAGGACCTGTGGGCAGGGCCGCCTCAGATGCCCTCCAGGAGTGGGCAAGAGAGACAGAGCCACAGACAGGGTCCCGGAAAAAGCTGTGCGTTCAGGGTGCGGGACTGGGATCCGGGCAGCTACAGGTCCCCTGCACTCTGGCAGGAAGCCATTCAGAGAGGTGGCCCGCGTAGTAGCTTGGCTAGCTGGCCTAACTCCTTCCCAACAACTGCCCCGACTCCCAGGGAGCCAGCACCCCCCCACGCCCCACCACACCCCCATATCCAGGTACCTGGATCTATTTCCTCCCTCACCCCCCACACTCCAACCTCTTGAAGGGACCCAGGTCCTCAGGCCCCAAGCACTCACCCCGAAGTCCCCTCCACGCTCAGTCACCTCCCAGGGCTGAGTGAGGAGGGCAGGAAACAGGAATCGGATCCGCCTCCAGACCGGACACCCACCCCTCCCACTTCCCCCCTCCCCACGTTGCTCTCCACATGCGCACACTGGGGACCAGCGCCCAGGGCATGGGGCAAAGCTAGACCCTGGGGTACAGGTTCTCACTGTGGGGGCCAGGATAGGCAGGTGGCTCACAGGGTGACGGTAGGTTGGCAGTGGCATGGAGCTGCATGCGGCCTGGGAATTCAGGTGCTTCTGTCTTGGCTAGGGGATGCTGTGTGCGTCCGCACATGGTGTGTCTGGCCATTTCGACCATGATTGGCACGATCACCCATCTCTCCTTCAGTTTACAACCTGTCGTTGGGGTGTGAGCCAAGAAGCTGTGTCATACTCTGGGAACATCACCCCCCCCCCCGCCGCTCCCCCCTCTGGTCCCACTGTAGCTCTCCAAGAGCTTACCTTTATCTGTTTGGAAGCTCTTGCAGTCTTCAGCCTGTCCCGCCTGCCCCCTCGGGAGCAAGGAGCTCGGAGGATTCCAAGTGTGTCTGTTCTGGCCTTTTGGGGCGGGACTGAGGACCCAGATTGAGATCTCTGCAGAGGAAGCCAGTTCCTCCGCCCCACCCGCCATTGTGTCAGGAGTGCGTGCGTGCGTGTGTGTGTGTGTGTGTGTGTGTGTGTGTGTGTGTCTGTTTACAAGAGATGGCAGTGTGGGGGAGACAGGCACAGGGCAACCAGAGCTTGGCTTCCTTCAGGGGGTCTGACACTTGCTGGGACCCCTCCTAGTCTCTCAGCCCCCACTTTGCTGGGTACCAGCTCCTGGCTCCCTGTCCCATGAAGCTGGCTTTCATGTTGACTGGTCAGCAGTCCCTGCTCCTGGGGGAAGGTGGCCAGGAGGGTCCCTCCCACCCTCTAATTATTTTTCTGTGGTTGAGGAGCTGAGTCCCCCAGGGCAGAGGGGTGTGTCCTATACACAGCAGAGTGGGGAGAAGGAGCCACACCCCAGCGTGGGAAGAAGTAGTGTGTTGGGAGGAAGATTGGAGAGCTGGCCATGAACCCCAGAGGCCTCTGCCCGTATCAGATGTTTACACACACTCCTGACAAGACCCAGGAAGCTGGCCTGAGAATATGTTCCAACCAACACAGGCCTGGGCAATGCACGCTCCTCCTGAGCTTCTCTCTGGCTTCAGGGCCTTTGCACTGGCTGTACCCCCCTGTTCAGAAGCCTGTACGCCCTCCCCAAGCTAGAGTGCTTCAGATTCAGATTCTCAATGAGGGTTTCCCCTTGAACCCACAGCCTCGCATCTGTTCCCAGGCTCCAGTTTTGTACCTTATAGCATCCCACTACAATACGCTTGTGTATTGCGCATTGGTATATTGCCCTTCACTGGAATAAAAGGAAGATCTTTATCTGTTTGGTTCACTGATGAAGCCCAAGGTTCTGGAACAGGTTCTGGAACACATATCAGGTGCTTAATATTTGACTGAACACAATCCTCCCTACACAGCATCAGCATGATGATTCAATTAGCTAATCTTCGGCCTGCAAACACTGGCATCCCATATGGACTACATTACAGTTCATGTCCCAGCTGCTACATTTCCCATTCAGCTTCCTGCTTATGGACTAGGAAAGCAGAAGAGGATGGCCCAAAGCTTGGAACCCTGCATCCATGTAACAGACCTGGAAGAAGCTCCTGGCTCCTAGCTTCGGCTTAGTTCAGCTGTTGAAGGTATTTGGGGAGTGAACCAGCACATGGAAGATCTTTCTGTCTCTTCTCTATAAATCTGCCTTTCCAATTAAAAAAAAAAAAATCTTCCTGACAGCCTATGATTTCTCTTCTTTACATTTAAATCTTATTTTTGATGATGTTTACATACTTGATTATGGTGGGAAGGGTCCAGGATAAGGGGAAAGTGGGTGAGACCATTGTTTCCAAATTTTCTTTTTCTTCTTCCTGTGTCTGGGGGAAGAGGGGAGATAAGGGTAGAAGCCACACCCAGCCTCCCAACCTCCTCAGTACCTGGAGATGGACAATAGCCACCTGATGTCATCCCGTATCCTCGATGTGGAGAATGCTCCTAGGGTTCTTGCTCAAGTGATTTTGACAGTTGTGAAATACTGTCTATCTTGCTGATCCAAAGATGAGGAAGTGCTTCCAAGATCCATTGGCTGACACAGTCCACCAATCCAATCCAGAGACTCCGCTTGCCCAGATATTTGCTGTCAACGTTTGGTTGACCAGTTTGTCCTGCCCTCCAGCCTCTGCTGTGGGCTCATGATTCCTGTTACATCCCCTCCCTACTGACCAATTCCATGATAATGTTGATCTCACCAGTTTTTCCCACATACACATACATGTGAGGGCCAGGACACATTCTCCCAGGACTCGCCTCTAGATCTTGGTGGGTGTCCTCTCCCAGAGCCTCAAGACC